GGCCTCCAACCTAATAGCGAAGGCCTCCAACCTAATAGCGAAGGCCTCCAACCTAATAGCGAAGGCCTCCAACCTAGTAGTCTAGAAAAATACAATTGCATCGACTCCGTGTCATTGTATCTAGACAACTTTGCCCATAGCGATGGACTCCACGCGATGGGCGAGAAATGGAGACCGTGCTCCAAGAGATAACCAACAAGTATATATTTGTCATGGTCTCCAAATGAATAGCGGCACGCTTTCAAACAGGGTTCTTAGTGGGGAAGTATACTTTTCTATCTATTTGGGGGTCTATATAAGATCCTGCAAGCATCCTTTTAAGGCAAACACCACATGGTGCCAAGAGGCTGCGGCGACCTGCTTGGGGGTTTCGGAAGGCCAAAGGGCCTGCTGTTGCTGAGCCCAAGTACTCTCCTGCCGCGGTGTTTCGTTGTTCTCGTTTGTCTCTTTCGGACAGAAAAGTCATGGGCCATGTGGATTGGCCAAGTTCTCAACTTGTTGGATGCAGCTAGGAACAGTTTCTGCCGTGTGATTATCTCAAAATGCAATCCGTATGTGTCCAGCTCCTGGTTGCTGCGAATGCCATAGGGTACAAGGCAGGCCCTCAGCAAAGGCAAACCATCTTCCAAAGAAGGGCTGGGTGCCTGCAGGAGACACATCTCCCATCTGGGTGATTTGACAGATGAGCGTTGTCCGAATCATCCCAAAAAAGCCGGATCCAAAGAAGTTCTTGAGTCAACTCTCAGACAAAACTTTTTGGAAAATATATGAACACATGGGCAACCTTTGCAGTTGAGAACCCTGAGCAGCCGCAGCAAAACGTGAAGAACAAGAAAATGGAAAACATACAAATCCAGCAATGCTGCCAGCAAAAAGCTTCTCACGTCTTGAAGAAACTGAATAGTATGAACTGTGTACAGAAATGCAGGGACATGAGGACTTACTCTTCCTTTCGGACTCCCTCAGAATTGAGACATCGATCCGAATCAAAGGGCCAGAGTTCACAAGGACAGCCTTGTGAACCAGAAGGAACTCAAAGCAAATCGAATAGAACTTACACTCCCCCGAAAACTAACATGGACCCTGACAATGGCCATGTCATTAGATTGTTTTCCTCTACCAACCAACCAGTGGTTTTCAATGGTTTTCAGGGTCCATGTTAGTCCTCCAGGGTGTAGTTCATGAAAGACGTGGACAGGAGGCAACGGAACCCACGGTTCAAGCTGGGAAGGCTGGGGTCGTGCTTTCACAATGAACGGATCCCTTGAGTTGCGATGGAGAGGGCCCTAGCCCTCTTGATCAAATAGAATTCATTGTACACATTGCCCTCAATGAAGAAAGGAGGTTTGAGAGGCTTGGAAACGGAGGCAAGAAGTGGCTAACGGATATGCTAGGGTTGGTTGTACATGTGCTAAGTGGATCCTAAATAAAGTAATCTGATGTTCCACCTCCCTTTACACAATGTGTACAAGTCCCTGTGAGGATGCGACAAACGGCAAGTTTCAACATTTGACCAACCTGTGCTGACTTGTATCCAATATCAGACAAAAGCATCATCAGTGAGCGTCATCTTGGTCAGTCATGTTTTCACCTGACTGGTCCCGACTGGGCCTCCTTTGCCATGTCGTGTACACGGCCCTCTGCAGCGGAGTGGGTAGAGGGCACGCCGCTGCAGCACATCCATAACTTCCGCTTGAGCGCCTCCTGGCGCCAGACGGGGCAGGACGGTGTGAATTGCCGACACCTGATGAAAAAGGCGAAGAAACATGCTCGCTACGAACGTAGCTTCTTGTTGCTAGCGAAAGGAACCTAATAGGAATGTCCTCCACCTAATAGCGTCCTTGCTACTAAGACATTCGAAGACGAAGACAGGGTCTATTGAGACATATCAATACATATCAAACAAATGATTCTCAAAGCTTGAAGCTCAACGGCCAGTTGTCCACAAGATCTTGGATCAAAAAGCTACCAACACCACCCCCTGATGGAGATGAATACAGTACTCCATCAATAGATTGGCGACCTCCATATCTATATCCAGAAGAGAGTGGGGCACCAATGCTGCTCTCGAATTCCTGCTCTGATTGGTGTCCTCTGATCGTCGGACTCGTGGCTCCCAGCAAATGGGCTGTGCCAAGCGAGGGCCACCACGCCAGCCCTGGTGGACGGTGCGAGAGTCCCAGAGGAGCAAACCTCGCAAGACTCGAACGGTGCAACGTCCCGATGCAAGACTCGAAGCAAGCTCACTCGGACAGTTGCACTTCATTCCTGCTTGGTGGATTCTTGTACGGGGGACAAAAAGCAACCAACTGTGGGCGCAACCACCCTCAGCAGAAGGGATTCACGTCAGGTGTATCCTCTGCCACATATTACAACCTGCTGGCGGCCACAGTCACTTTCCAAGTTGTTTGAGACTTACTGTCGCATCTTTGTTGTGTTTTGACGGTCCACACCCTGCAGCGGTGGAGTAGCCCGCCTGCGCCTAGTGTGGCACCCAGGGATTGAACCCGGGTCACAGCCACTAGACCATACTAGACCATACCCCGGCCCCCTTACTGTTCCGTCTCTTCCAGATCGCTCTAGTCACGAACGCATCTGTGTCGAACGCCCAGCCACTTCCAGCTGGGCACGGCACGCGCCGCGCATTCAACAGCGCCTCGCTCATTAGCTCCTGGCGAACGGCCGGGCGGCACGGGCACGGCATCTGCAGCAAACACCGATGGGCCAAATCCATCTGACCAGGTGGGTGGAAGCACGGAAGTGGGTGGGCTTTGCATTCTGCACCCAGCACAAGCGACACCAGACTTTTTGATGTCGCATCCTGAAGGAAAGGGATTTTTGCCTGTTGTGTCTGAGGTTCCATATGAATCGTCGTTATGCCTTGTCAATACCTGCAAAAGCAAACCTTCCAATCTCAACGTACCAAAAAGGAGTTTGGAAGTGTGACTCCTTGATAGACGACTCAGTTCGCTTTGGAAAGACCAATGAAGGGCGCAAAGAAACGAGGGTAACATGTTTGATTGACTGTTCAGCGCATGTTCAGCTTGGTTGGGGCCCACCTGCTTCATGTCCAAAAACATGCAATGATGGTTGACTATGGACATATGGACATATGGGTGTGTATCAGAATCGAGACCTCCCAATCAAGTTCTGGTTGCTCTTCCTAGTTATCTCAAGGGATCCTGGTTTCACGCATCCATCTTCAATCTCTGTCACACAGTACCGGTGACAAGCACCAGTTGCAGGTAAATGATCCTGCTTATATAGATCATAACTTGCAAAACAGCTAACAATTAATACCCAGTGCAGTGCAAGTAACTACGGAATACTTAGCCCGCGCAGCTACAGAACACAAGACTAGCAGAAGTGTCGTCTTGCAGTATGTCATACCTGGGATAAACTCTAACCATTCAAATCTACGACTACATACCTAAACCGGCCTCTGAACCGTCTGAACCCGATGGCTGGTACGGCGATAGCTGCACCTCGCGGAGATGGGGCTGATTCAGCTCCTTCAGCTTCACCGTTTGTCCTTGGAGAAAGCCCGACCCTTCCGTTCTGCGTCACAACCCATCTGCAACACAACGGCACTTTGAGGAGATACTATGCATATCTCTGCATCGTTCCCATGCATTCTCATGCAGCAGAAAGCGGGCTTCTATTTATTTCGATTTGCTGCACTAGGTCTAGACCTAGGCCGGACAAAAAGAAACTAGACTAGCAAAGGTGTGTTTATTGGTAGTTTAACCTCCAGTGGCACTAGTTTCAGAAGGTGTTATTTCTCTACATATGGTGGGTTCATGAGACAACCCAGGAATCGTATCCTTTCAGCCCAGCCGGATGGCCTGCTAGAGAGCGCCCACGAAGCATCGCCAGTGGATCCTCCATCATCCTCTCATACACCTTCAGGGCACAGTGCTGCATAACTCGTCAACCAGCTGCTGAAAAATCTGCTACTGAGCCGCTAGAGCCAACTGGAAATAATTCACAAAACACGGGCAACAACGGCAAGTCCCAAAGCAGCAAATGTAGCGACAAAGCATGAAAGAAAGCTTAGTAGCTTAGTGGAAGTAGAGCCACTCCTACTATATACAGTAATGGCACACACTATTATGTCTTTCCTGTATGATGATATCAGAAGCCGTGCCATATCATGACATTGGCAAAGCCTGCAGCCAATGGTTGGAGCGGTTATGGCCACAGAACTACAAAAATCATCCCACCACAATCCTGCGAACCTTCTAGCAAAATCCCTGACTGTGTTTGGGAATGCACTACACAATTCTATATCAATGTCTTGTCTTCGCGCAGCTGTAGCTACTCTATCCATTCTTCTCAGTCACATGACCAAAACTCCAGGCAAAAGAAAGGCGACCGTTCTGGCCTCCGTATGGCTCTTAGGCCAAACCACCGTGCTTGAGGAGCTAGAACCTTCCTGAACAGCGGAGCTTCCAACTACCGAGCCTCCTAGAACCCACCAACCACTGGAGGTGATTGTCATTCTATTCTCCCGCTGCTTGGGCTGTACACCCGCTCTGATATTGAAATTTTAGGGCTTCCAGCAGGGCACATGGACTGACATTCAGTTGCATCTGGATGACTGCAATATGATTGGACAATTTCATCAATCAGGAAATGCTTCAGGAAGTGGTTACCATTGTGCCAAAACCAACCGCTCTCAGCGGAGGCTTGCAGAAAAAGCCGTCATTTCTGGGCGATCTAGAAAAATTGATGGACATCACCCCAAAATATGCTTAAGTCTCAAATGATCTTGCCGCCCTAATCAAATTAATTGAACGGCACGTTGGTCAATGAATTGGTAAAGCTGCTTGGCTTCATGGACAGTGACCATTGCCACTGCAAGCCCCATGTTCCAGGGATGAAAGGATGCAACCCCCACTTCTGCACGGCTGGTGAGACTGCCAACCACCAGAAAATGTAAGATAAGGCCTCCATGGCCAACAAGGATCGTGAGACAACGTTGCATTCCAATGGTGAAGAAGTTCCACAGCCGGTGACTCTCAAAAACATGTTTCAAAAGGAAAAGGACCAAAAAGATCACCCTATCCTGGCCGAGTGTCGGAAGGCCAAACATAGAGCACTCCTTGTGCACAGGGCCATGTCACACCTGTGCGATGATTCTGATCGACCTGTGGCCGAGAAGCGGTCGAACGAGGTAGCTTGGGCTGCCCAGGAACAAGCCTCACTCCATGTGGAGCACTTTTGCGGAACTTGAACCGTCCATAAGTCACCTGCTGGTCACAGAAGAGTGCCCAATCACGTGATCTACCGAGGCACATGCAGCCACTCAGGGTTCGTGTCCTTGCCAGCATCCTGGGCGCTAGACCAGAAGACAGGGTTGAGGCCAACCACCAACTCCTCGATCGGAAGTGCAGTGCATTGTCATGTCGATGAAACTCCTTCTGGAAACACTGAATGTTCACAGGCTTCAAAGCGCATCTACTGTGAATGGACAATTGTGCTGATGTTCATCGCTCCACACGACATGTAAAGAGGGTAGTCCACTAAGAAGCCTGGTTCACACAGGCTCTCTTGATCAACAATGGGTCTACAGCTGTCTACACCACGGTGGACCGGCCACCTGGTTCTGCCTGCCTCGCTGCACCATGGCACCATGGCAGTGCCAGGAAGCTGTCATGTTGGAACACATGTGGGGCACGTCTTTTTGTCTCGTCTTCAAGACAAACATGTTGATTCAATCCGTGATGAAAGTGTGAACTTTACAGTGTGGTCTGGTTTCATATCAAACTATATAACACAACAATTGAAACGTTCCAAGCAATCCCGTCCTGTCATGATAATATATGATAATGATATCACAGAACGGTCATTGCTTTCTTTTGTGCAGCCATAATTACACCCAAACGAAGCTGGACCTGGACCTAGTTCGCATTTGAGTTCTGGATGTCTCTCTGCTTCGTGGTCCTCCATATTACCTCGAGCTTGCCCCCACAGCAGTCCTGCTGCTCCGCGTCATACAGATCCGCAAAGACTTGGCGCACTTTCGGATGCAGTCGTGCAGCCCATGCGAAGCTTCCGTGCGCCAAACCATGCTTGGAGGCCGTCCCCTTCATCCCTAAATGGTTGTCCTGCAAGGGAAGGATACGGAAGTATGGAATGAACAGTTCTGATGCACAGGACACGGAAGGATCGGACCTTGTCAGACCTAGGATGCATTCAATTGCTGTCAAAAATCTCAACCAATGATGCACAGAAAGCTGGATCGTCTTACTGTGGGATCTTTGGGATAAAACTTCTATGGTTTTTGGTGCGATTGTAGAGGTCACAGCGCAAAAAGGGTCCGTCGAGCCTTTCGATTCCGCCTGCGATAGCTTTGCTTTCTTGGAAAGAATACCGAAAGCTATGGATCAACAACTACTGCGGCACCTAAAACTGTCTGACTCCAAGTTTCAGGTGCTTGGTAACGTGCATGCGTTGATGTCTGCAAGCACTGAAAGGAAGTTGAACAAATATGAACCCCCGCCCGCCCTCACTGCAACTGGACGTTGCTGGCACACTAGCTGGCTCATATACATATTGTTTCACAGGCAGATACCCTTTGCATAGTTACGTCCAAGTAAAATCAAGTTTACTGAATAATTGAATGTACTGTGTACTTGTAGCAGTTTGTTGCGTTACTAAGTGGGCCTCAATAAGGATGTATAACACTAGCAGGTTACTGAGAGTCTTGAAAATCATACCAACTTGCATTTTCTGACCCAATGAAATGCATATCGAAGCCTTGTCCTTTAAACTTCATATTCGATAGTGTCAGAAAAGGAAGATTGAACTAAATTCCATCATATTCCATAGTATATTCCGTATTCCTTTTCCAAAAAAAGAAACTTCCGTCGTATGTTCATAAGTGAACCAGAATCCGCTCACAGCACTGCTTCTGCCATGTCTCCCAGTGCTTCGGCCAAGCCCGAAGATCTTTGCTCACTGCCGGCACCTCACTTGCCTCGAACGTGGCTTGACAGAGAGGGTGCCCGGATATGAGACGTTCAACAAAATTACCCTCCCTGAATCATGGAAGTGGAACATGGCCCCTGGCAAGACAAATTTTCCTTTTACAAGCAGGGGATGGTCCACTTCCATGTTGTTTCAGAAAGGGAAACTGGGTGCCCAGATTGCAACCAGGTGGTTGATGAGTGACATCATGGAAATGTGATTCACCATGATTCACCTCCACATCCTATATCCAGATGAATCCAGGATGGTCCGTGAGGTGGCACCTAGGATCTGGCACTCGGTGGCACCCAGGAACCATGTCGGTTTCGATAACCCCAAAAACACTGGAACATCATGGAACCCTTCGTGAGACGCCAGATTACATGGAACATCTTAAGAACGTCGCCAGTTACATGTTCACTTCATCCGAACATCCACCACTCCTCTACTCCACTGAGAGGCCTGAGATTTGTTTCCCCGCAGCAATTGCAGCAAATCATCGTGCCAGAGCTCCTCGAGTACCTCACATTCCTCGCCGGTCAGCACATTCGTCACCTGGGAAGGCTGCTTCCCAACGCGCCTTTCGCGAACAACTTGTGGGAAGGAATGCACCTTCCGCATGCCGATCCAAGCTGCGCGCCCGATCCAACTTGCTTGTTTTACAGAAAAATATATGTGATGTAACCTGGAGCTGATCTGAACTACAGGACTGGAGCTGATCAGCTGATCTGAAACCCAAACACCGTCCCTGAGTGGGCAAACTGTTTGAAGCATGCAAGAAATGCTTTTGACTTGAAACGAGTATGGTAGCAGCAACTTCCAACATAAACATACGCTGAATTTGAACTTTGCCCGGTGGCAACACACACGCCGTACTCCTCGAAGGTCGACTTGACTTTTTCAGGTTGGTTCACTGGAACGAGCAACGGCGCCAGTTCCTTAGACACGAAGCATGGCATGGCAGATCCACAAGCATTGCATGTTGATGTGGATCCAACTGGAATTCCTGTGCTGATGGATGTTGAATGTGGGCTGGCCTTCTGATGGACTCACCAAAACTGACTTTTCGGCGCAGTCCATAAGGCCAAATCCCGAGTCCTGAAAAACACCAACTCATCCACCGTCCCGAGTTCACCTGCTGTCAGAGTGCAGCAGATGACATCACGGGAAAGAAGGCCTCACCATGTGGCAGACAATCAGTGCTGGAATAGCCTCAAGCGGATGTTCAGTCATCAAGCAGTGCTTCTGGACATCATTGCCCTTGGTATCAATTTAGCGCTGCTGCATAACATGTTCCCTTCCTCAGAACCTTCATGACCTTCATTGGCTGGGTATACACTAGCTTGTATACTCCCATGAAAACCCCTCAGAAACTGGCAGCATCAATGACCCGCGAAAACGTGACACTCTTTTCACTGCGTTCCCGGTTGCATCCAGTGTCCATTTCCCCAATTGGGCTTCATGAACCATAACGTAGCATCATGTTGTCATGTCGCCACAACTACACCATGGACACAGCTCCACTCTCCTGGCACCGCGCCTTCCAAAGTGCCTTTGACGGACACAAGCTTCTCATCTGTCGGCGGAGGCAACTTCGCCTGCCAACAGCAGCCGAGTGGTGAAAATGTACCAAGTTCCTTCATTTGTTGGGTAAAGTTGTGACTTATGGTTGAGCTTGTTATATATGCCAGTTGCAACAACATTTAATGTCATTTAATGATATGTTGAAGGCATGCAAGTGCGCGGCTATACCAAAACGATACAAACATCGACAAGCGTTGGGCTCCATGATAAGTGCATCTCGTTTCCTGACCAGTTCCATCAGAATTCTGAAAATCACTTCTGACTCAATCGGTGAGTTTGAACCTGACCGCATCAGAGTGAACAAACTGTCTTCGGCTGTTGGAGTGAGACTCAGACTGAAACTTCAGACTCATTGACTTGCACATCGTATACCAACAAAGGAGACAGTAAGAAACATAAGTGTATATAAATATATTAAGTTCATTATATATATATATATATCATTATATATCATCATATAGCCCCATGACATATCCGTAAACCCCATTAAACCACATATGAATTTCACCACGTGATGACCTCCTCATGGCCAACACGACACTGATCCTGATCCTTACCCCAACACGCCGGCATCACCGTCTCCCTGCTCTGCGCCAGCTCTCCGTTCCAAAGTCGCTGCATCAGCTCTTCCGCTTTGCGCCGCGTGGACGGCGCCGATGGCGCGCTGAGACCGGGCGCCGCGGGCGCCGCGGGCGGCGGGACTCCACCGGGGAGCTCGGTCTCTTCGCTGCGGCTCGGGCGCTTCCCGCGCTTCGGCATCGAGTTCGAGGGCACGTTCTTGGGGGTTGAACCGCGCGTGGGGATGAAGTGGCTTTGAACAGCTGAGATGCCAACGGGATGTTCCAACGGTCGGTACGGTACAACGGCACGATATGGTGCAATCGATGTAAGGTCTCGTCGCGCATGGCCATCAACAGCAAAGCTTCGTAGTTGCTGTCATGAGTTTTGCAATCTAGATAGAGGGCCCAGCAAGTCCAGATTCATCATGGTTGCTTCAAGGGCAAACTCGTTGTCCCAAACTTTAAAGTTACTCGGGGGTCCAAGGTACAATATGGCAGAGTGCTGGAATAAAAAAGCCTCCAGCCACTGGTCTGGGGAGGTCTCTCAATGTTTGAGACAAACCCGATGTAGACAAAGGATAATACAAAATGCATCTGCTGGTCCATCCCCTTGGCGACGCCGCGCTGAAGAACGCGCTCAGCTGGGCTGGGTCCCGAGCTGCTCGTGTGGCGTGCGACAGCGATCCGTGCGCAGGCGTGCACCTGCGACGCTCGTGAGACACTGTGGGACAGTGTGGACACTGTGGAGCGCTTTGGTTTGCTGTTCTTAGGATGGGTAGAGGAGGTGGGCTGATCAAACGCGGAATGGATGTGTCCAAAACTGGGTGTTCCCCATTTGCATGTACCAAGAAATCAACTCTGCCATCAAAAAAGTTGCCAAGCAAGAATTGATCAATCCAAAGAACGCGCGGCCAAGCAAATTGATGGCCAGCCCCTCAAGAAACTTCCTTCGCATCCACAAAACACACCCTCCTGAATCTGAAGCTCTTGCCACCAAACAGAAGCCGCTTCCTTTCATCCATTTTCCCATCGAACTTCTCCGCTCACAAGGGGCGGTCCCAGCGGAAGTCGTCACCGCCTTGGAGTCCGGTTCGGGCGTCTCCACCCAAGCCACCCTCTGAGGGCCCCACATTTAGACTCATGAACTTTGAGCGGTGGCAGGTGGAGGTAGGAGCAAAGGGCATCGCTACTAGGAGCAAGGACGCTACTAGGGGCTCCTGGCCTTACTACTAGTAACAATGTTTGCTATTAGAAACAAGAAATAAATAGAATTAGAAGTGGAACAAGAAGCTACTAGGACCTTTTCGCGCGCGCACGTCCCGGGGGGGGTAGAGGACGATACTAGGAGCATCACAGGTGTTACAAATTCTGCTGTTCTACGATGCAATGTCTTTGAAAGGTGCACACTCCGCTCCACTGTCCAGAGGGTCACCCCGCAACACGTGGCGATGAAAAATGGCTTCACATGGTTTCACACTATTCTTTGCTCTTCTCTGCGCCATAGGCTGTTGCCAGCGCTAGAGTCTTCACACCCTCCAAATTACAATGAACCTTGCAGTCATCAACCTGGTGAACCATCCTTTACAAAGCTGCACGATTTCCTGGGTTCCACACATTTGCGCGGCAAATAGGGATAGTCGTCTTCATCCTCGTGGTCCATCCTGGATGCGAGATCTGGCGTCCAAAGCGAAAGAATGTCCTTGGAAGCTGTGAGGGGTCTGGCGTCCCCTATGTCCCCGAGAGCCACGGGTCTCGTGCCACATCCCACCGCAGGTGACTGACCACTCACGTTGACTGATATAGGAAAACTCCCCGAGCCACCTGAGCGTCCTTGTTCCTAGTAGTAAGGCCAAGAGCGACCCCAGTAGCGTCCGTGTTCCTAAGTAGTAAGGCCAGGTAGAACAGACTCCGAGTCGAAGGCCTGTAGGTGCTGTAGGCCAGCTTCATCAAGCAGTTGTCCTTGCGGAGCGATGCGGTTTTCCTCCGAACGGCGCGGAGCGACTCGAAACCGGCATGTCATGCACAGGAAATTTTCTCAATTCTCATCAAAGTCCATTTGTGCCAAGTATGATAGTAGGATCAACATTTGCCCCCTCGCGCCCCCTTCATCCGCCCTTGCGTTTCATCCATTGCCCCCTCGCGCCCCCTTCATCCCCCCTTGTGTTTCATCCATTGCCCCCTCGTGCCCCTGTGTTTCATCCATCGCCTCCTTCATCCCCCCTTGTGTTTCATCCATTGCCCCCTCGCGCCCCCTTCA